TGCTTCTTGGTAGTTTGTGATCTGTTGCCAAACATTGTGATTTCCCATTTTTGGGTATTACATTTTATTACATTATTTTAAATTTTTTTGCATTTTATTCTAAGATACAGTCAAGTTACTTGGATTCTCTTTGATCTTTCATGGCTTGTTCTCAAATGCCGTTAGTGTGGGTTTAGAACAGCCTTCTGTTAAGGGCTGATTGGATTTACTGCCAACGCGATACTCTTCTGAGGACTCTACCCATTGCCCTGTATATTGTGAGAGCTCTTCAATGAAGTTGTAGGACTGCAATTATTTCTAGTTCTGTGTGAGATCTGGGAATTGTCTGGCCTACTGCTTTCCAGTGTTTCTTTGCGCAGTACCCAGTTTTCTCTCATGCCTGTTTCGTTATTTTTAGAGATGAGGTCTCACTGTCACCCAGACCGGAAGGCAGTTGGGTGGTCATAGGTCACCACAGCCTCGAACTCATAGGCTCAAGAGGCACGCATCACCATGCTTGGCTAATTTTTAAAAATTTTTTGTAGAGACAAAATCTTGCTATGTTGCCCAGACTGGCCTCTCTAACTACTAGCCTCAAGCAGTCCTCCTGCCTCAGCCTCCCAAAATACTGGGATTACAAGTGTGAGCCACTACACCCAGCTCATACCATCAAAGTCTTGAGGGACTCTGCAGGTCTCTAGAATTTTCTGTGTAGCTCTTCTTCTAGTACTTAACACGCTGTCTTATCCTTCCCAAATCTTTTTCTCTCTCCTTCCCTCCCTCTCACCCTCTCTTCCCCTCTCCCCCACCCCTCATTTCCTGGAGACCACTAGGTTCTAGTTGGGTTCTCCCTTCCTACATAGGAGACTGGAAACTGCCTCCAGATAGAACAGGGGCAAATGTGAAACAAAACTTTGCTTCCTTCCTTCAGAGATTATAGTCTTGTGCTGTTTTTTATCCAGTGTCTGATAACTTGTTTCATATTTTGTTTTGTTTTGTTTTGTTTGTTTTGTTTTCTAGTTGCTTAGAGTAGAAAACTAGATCTAGTACTTGTTACTCCCTCATGGCTGGAAGCAGAAGTTTCCGTATATGTGATACTACCTAAAGTGGATTTATGCCACTGGTTCTCAGGTTTTAGGCTGAAAGTTTTTGATACCCATACTATTGTCATTTATTGGTTTCCTTTTCTCTTCTTATGCACTTTGAGTCAGCTCTTAACAAAAGTAAGAGAAAGTCATTTGAGCACCTCAATACAGGGCACTTTAAGTAGTAAAATAATTTGTCCCTACCTTCAAATAGATCTTGTCAAGTAAATGGCATAGGAAAGCAGTGGTAGGTTGAGAAGGGAAGGCTAGAGCCAGTAAAAATAGTCCTTATTTCTTAAGTCTAAGTATGAGTGATCAAAGCTGAAAAATAAGAATCACAGAAGTGGTTATGAATTAAGACTACTTGCAAATAAGATTAGTCTCAGTAAGGGAGAGGGAAAAGCACGGGTGAAAAGGAGGAAAGACTTAAGTGAAGAAGGGGAAATTGGTGCTTTAGAAAGAAAATGAAGAAGGAGAGGGTGAGCTCGGACTTGGTTGAGGAACAGAGTGTACTTCCATTAGAATGCTGCTCTGTTGTGAGGGCTGACGTTCTGATGGCATAGTGCAAAGAATGTGTTATTCCCATGTATTTTTTAAAAGATTACCAGCTTTTTAGGGATGCTAATAACCAAGATGATATTGGACATTCTCAGAAAATGTAGAAGATTGGTTTTGACTTTATAATGTCATTTTTTTCAGTTCCTGTGACCTTAAGTACACAGAAGGAGTACAGTCCCTCAACTGGACTAAAATCATGAAGACCATTGTTGATGACCCCGAGGGCTTCTTTGAACAAGGTGGCTGGTCTTTCCTGGAGCCTGAGGGTGAGGTGCGTGAGTGTGGGGTTTCTTTTCTGGTACACAGTGTTGCCCCCTATCATTTGGGCAGTTATCAGAATGGCATATAAGTAGCACATAAAAGACCAGACCAACTGGGAGAAGCTCTGAACACAACTTGGCATTATTGTTTTTCCAAATTAGTTTTACAGGTAAATGATAAATTGATTGGGCAATAGTAGCACTGATAAAATTTCTCTGAAGTTACAAAAACTGTTCCCCAATGATTGTCTTGGTTTTTTTGGGGGGGGGGGATTCTTGCAGGCATTTTGCAAAAATTATTTCCTAAAAAATGGTCCTCCTACCTCTGCTAATACATTATTACAGAGTTTCTGTTGTTAATTTCCTGGATAAGGAAGGATGAAGTAAATTGTTCAGAAATATGAATTAGTTATTCAAGGTATCTAATAATTGTACCTTACAAGTAATTTCAGGCAAATCATTTTATCTCTTGGTCTCTCCGATTTTTTTTTTCCTCATAAAAGGCTGGCATACTGAGTGGGTTGAATTAATTAATAAGGTAAATGTGAAAAAAAGAGTAAATAGTATTATGCTCTTTCTGACTCACTAGGGGAGTGATGCTGAGGAAGGGGATTCAGAATCTGAAATAGAAGATGAGACTTTTAATCCTTCAGAAGATGACTATGAAGAAGAGGAGGAGGACAGTGATGAAGATTATTCATCTGAAGCAGAAGAATCTGGTTAGTCTTTGTAGGGAAAATTTTTTCATGGCTTCCTAATCTAATATAATTTCTGAAAACTACTTTTTTAGACTAAGGGAAGAATTCTGTCATTCCATTCATTCTTGCGTAGTAACAAATCATTTTTATTTCAGACTATTCTAAGGAATCATTGGGCAGTGAAGAAGAGAGTGGAAAAGATTGGGATGAACTAGAGGAAGAGGCTCGAAAAGGTAATCATTTTTTTTTTTTAAGTTTTTAAATTTTATTTATTTGCACACAAATTTTTAATGCATTTCAGTATTTTGAGGTGTTAGTATTAGTAGCCTAATAGAGTAACAAAAGAACACTATAAAACTGATTTGGAGCCACAGTTGCAACTTCATTGACCAAAGCAGAAAATGAAGCCCGTACTCTCCAGTGCGTATGACTCTGCCTAACTGGATGCTTTTTTTCATCTGCTCAGGTTTCCAGTGTACACATAATCATGACAGCCATATAGTCTTGTAAGACTCCAGAACTAGCCTCTTCAGTTTCCAACCCTAAATCCTAAGATGGTCGAGCTTTTTGGGCTTCTTCCAGTTAAGGAATGTCTTTATAATACAAATCTAGCTACTCTGAAACCAAGCCCCAAATACAAGTTAAAGATGACAAGGAAATATTTATTATCTAGTGTGTAGCATCGTGATAGGTACTTTTCATAGGTTACCTTATTTAATCCTTGAATAATTTTCCCTTTTATAAATAAACCAAGGCTCAGAAAGGTTGAGTACTTTCCCAAGATCACACAATTAGCAAGTGACTAAGTTTAAAACTCAGGTCTGACTCCAAAATAAAACCTGAAGTTTACCAAATGCTAATTAATAATGCCTCTGTCTTCTTCCTAGCGGATCGTGAAAGTCGTTATGAGGAAGAAGAAGAACAGAGTCGAAGTATGAGCCGGAAGAGGAAGGCATCTGTGCACAGTTCAGGCCGTGGCTCTAACCGTGGTTCCAGACACAGCTCTGCACCCCCCAAGAAAAAGAGGAAGTAACGTCTGAACTTTGGGCCTGAGTTCCATTTTTCCTCCAGCCAACCCCTGAAAATTTTACATGACATAGAAACTGTATTTTTCCTTTTGTTTTCATTTGAAGTTTTGCCATTTGTGTTTATGGGTTTAGGGGGCCATTTGTGTGGACCAATCTACTCGGGGATTTCCAGGCCCACCAGGACACGTGCCAATGGCCCCATTCAGATGGCAAGGGAGGAGGTGTTCTTGAAGACGGGCGGAGGCTCCCGCTATTAATAAATACCGTTTCATTCCTCTCTCTTCCTGTCACCTACCAGGACATCGATGGCTTCTGACATCGTATTTTGTGGTGTCTCAAAGCTATATTTCCAAGACAATAGTACAAGGTGACCCTTAACTACCTGTACCATGGTTCTTGACCAGCAGATTCAGTCTACCATCCTACCCTACTGCTATGACCTTCCTCATGTCTCTTTATGTTTTATCTTTGCAATGCTCAAGAAAAGGTTCTTGGAATTTGCTAATGATTGTGATAAACCATACAACTTGAGCTAGTGAGGCAGATTGGGCTGGCACCTTCGTCTTGAGTTTTCCTGCTTTCTTTCTTTCCTCATGTAGATTCTGAGGTATTCCTGCTGCCTTGGAAGACATAAGAAGCAGTGACACTCCCTGGCTTGGTTATTTCTCCTTAAAAATTCACACATGGTACAATGATAGAAGGCAAAGTTACTACTGTCTTCTTATTTTTCCTGATATGTCTAAGGAAGAATAGTTTGTGCCTCATGTACTGTTTCTAGCAAAATCTAGAGGAAGGCTCAGAAGAGGCAACGTTTAGATCTGGAAGGGGCAAGTCATATCTTGGGCTTAGAATACCCTGACAAGAAAAGAGAAGAGGAAGGGAGGCCTTATCTACAACACAGCCTCTCGTCACTGCTGCTCCTTATTTTTACCTGTCTTGCATTGCCCTGTATTTCTCATAGTTCTGTTGAACAGCTTTTTACGTATTGGGGGAGTTTATCTTGCCATCCTCCCCTTCTGGTTCTCTGCACCCGCCTGTTCCACTGCAGTTTCCTCTGTGTTCTGTGACTAAGAGGAGGGGGGAGGGGTCTCTGGTTTTATGTTTGTTTGTTTGTTTTTCTCCTTAGCAGTAGGACTTGATATTTTCAATTTTGGAAGAACTAAAAGATAAATAAACTGTGGGTTTTTTTGTTGTTTTGTTTTTATAAATTCACCTTTTGTGACTGTTCTTTCGCAGTTCCTTAAGCCTGCTTCTCACCTGGTAAAGCACTAAGGCATTAGAGGAGAAATGCCTTTAATCCAGTTAGTATCACAAAAACAAACTTTCATCATTCTAAACTTTCATCAGTAGGTTGAGAGATACTAGACATCACAGTAAACCAAGCTCATATTCTAGCAAGTTACTTTATAAGAGACTTTTTACTGTGGTTCCCTCGGAGACTAGAGACTTTAGAACGGATTAGCACTTGTTTCTTCATGAAAACAAATCCTCCGCCATCTCCTTGTAAATAGTCTGGAGGGCAGCAGCTGCTTGAAGGGACACCTTCAGTCTTCCTATTGGAGTAGTCTGGTCTTCAGGGCTAACAACTGAAAGGAAAAGAAGAGTGTCAGGCGGCAGCTGCCTTCAATTCAACACTTGTTACCTGTTATTTATCTGGGTATATGCTGGGGATAATAAGTGATTGAGGTTACTGGCACATTTCATAGGATGGACTCAGTTTAGTGGAGGAGAAAGGAAAATAGGATCACTACAATATAGTGTGTAGGTGTTGCAACAAATGAAAGCTCAGGGTGCTTTGGGGACACACAAAGGGGCACCTACTCAGGATAGAAACATTGGAAGAGGATTTCTGGACATAATTCATGAGCAAGTCTTTAAAAAGTAGAAGATACTCTAAGTCATGAGACCATAATGTGGTTGGAAAACTGCAAGGAGTGGCAGAAATTAGCCTGCACAGGACTCGGGGGCCAGGTCAGAAAGGGCCTTGTTGGTCTAAGGAATTTGGTCCAACTGAAGGTATTAGAAGTGTCTGTTTCTGTGTAAGTTCCAGGAAGATGACTATTATTTGGAGTACACAATTGAAGGGGTACAAGTAGACCAGGGAGAGGAGTTATAAGGCTACCGTGGTAATTGTAGGAGGAATGAAGGTCTGAAGTTTAACACTGGGAGTGGAGAGGTGGGGACAGATTCAAAATGCTTAAGAGGTAAAATCAGTGTTGTGGTTGGATGTTGGGAGTAAGAAATAGTTTGGAATCAAGGATAAGATGGAGGTGGGTAGGTAATACAAGATACAAAGTTGTAATCATGGGAGTTTGGGGTACCAGAGGGACACAGGTAGTGATATCTATTAATCTGGTGTAATTCTAGATTGTATTAAAAATCTGGCCTAGAAACCTAGATTTGAGGTCATTTCTAGACTAAATTAAACTCTTGAGAATGAATGCAATTGCCCAGGAAGACAGTATATGGAGGAAAGCAAAAAAGACCAAGGAGAATCGAACAGTTGAAGTAATAGACAAGGAAGAAAAACCTGCAAAGGAAAGAAGGACCACCCAGAAAGTCATGGGGAGTTAAAATGTCCTAAAATCCAAGGGAGACCACAGTTTAAAAAGGAGAATGAGCAGTGGCATCGAGGTTTAGAAAGGTCAAATAAGATAAGTAATAAAGCTAGTTGGATTTGGCAATTAGGTGAAACATAAGAACAGATTCAGTAAAGTGCTTGGAATGGAAGTGCTAAGAGTAGGAAATACGAGATGGTTATTGTGGACTGATCAAGTATTTCAAGGAACTGAGTTTTGAAGTGATAAGGGCTAGGAAGCAGAGTTTTAAAAATCAGACCCACGTGTTAAGCCTGAGTGACAAGGAGACCATCATGAGGAAATGACTAAATTTTTCTTTTGATTATTAAACAAATCAAAGTGAAAATCAAGTATGCATTGGTTTGTGGAATTTTGAGGTCACTGGAATAGACAAGTGGATTTTCCTTATGTGCAAAGGGCATGGAAGTCAGGAAGAGCATGCCATGTATAGGGATGGATATCGGAGAAGAAACTGGGAGTGGGTTGGAAAATAGCTAACACAGGTCACTTGTCATGTGCCAGGCACTGTCCTGAGTTCCTTCCTCAGACCTCCTGTCATCCTTTACTTAAATGTTCCCTTAATCTTCAAAACAACCTAAGAGGGTCTGCTATTATTCTCATTTTATGGTAGAGGAAACACAGAGAGGTTAAATCATTTGCTCAAGATCATAGTTGAAAATATACTGGAGAACCTTACTAAAGTTTTTTTTTTTCTTATCAACTGTGGTCTTCTAGATAAAGTATCAACTTTGTAGCCTTGGTCTGAGGAGTATTCCTCAAAAAAAAAAAAATTAGCATCAGTAAGCATAATTTTATATCACAATTTAGTAAACACTATATAAAATAAGTTTCACAAAACAATATGTGTAATGTACTCTGATATCTTCTTTCCCACAGTTTTGCTCTGCTTGTTTCAAATCCTGGTGGTGACCTACTAATTAAATTTCAACATCCAACTGCATGTTGGCAAAAACATTGGTCTAGTAGATAATCTTAAATACCTAACAGGAAAAAAAAAAACTAGACTGGATACGGTGGCTCAAGCCTGTAATCTCAACCCTTTGGGAGGCCGAGGTGAGAGGACTGCCTGAGACCATGGGTTTGAGAACGGCCTGGGCAAATTGGCGAAACCTCATCTCTACAATAAATCAAAAAATTAGCTGGGCGTGGTAGTGTGTGCATGTAGTTCTAGCTACTTGGAAGGCTGAGGTGATGGGATTGCCCGGATCAGTGCTGGGGTGGCCATGAGTGTGCCACTGTACTCCAACTAAAAAAAAAACAAAAATAAAAAAAACCTCACAGATCTTAACAAATAAGATGGGTGAAGTCCCAGGTATGTAAGGTAATGGAAGCAATGAGGACAAAGCAGACCCATATAAAGGCATTAAAACGCAAATATTTTTTTTTTTTTGAGTTGGAGTCTCACTCTGTGGCCCAGACTGGGGTGCAGTGGCCGCTCCCGGCCACAGCAGCCTCGACCTGCTGGGCTCCGGCGATCCTTCTGCCTCAGCCTTTCAAGTATCCGGAACTACAGACGCACACTACCACACCCGGCTAATTTTTTGATTTATTGTAGAGATGAGATCTCCCCAAGTTGCCCAGGTGGGTCTCGAACCCGCGGGCTTAGGCAATCCGGCAATCCACTCACCTCAGCCTCCCAAAGCACAGGATTACGGGCTGAGCCACCGAGCCCGGCTGCAAATATTTTTAAAACATGCCGATCTACAGCAAACTGTAAAAGGATCTGAGAAGAATACAATGATCAAATTTACTATTAGAAACATTTACTGTAGTGGATGGAAATGGAGTGAAAGAAACCATTACAGAAAGACCAGTTTAGAAAACTTACAGTCATGGGAATGTTGTCAAAATACAAATAGAAAGGATAGGACTTGGTGACCAATAAATGCAAGGGAAGAGAAGACAAGTTGGTGTCTTTAAGAGACTGGGTGCATGATAACACATTAACAGAAGGAGTGTCAGCTGCCTTTACAAACCTTACATGCTCAAGAGAGGTCAGAAATTCTGATCTTTAGTTTTGGTTGAAAAGAAAAGAACTTTGCTTTTAAAAGTTCTCCACCTCAAACACTGGAGATTCAAAATAAATTTTAGTTGTAATAAGGTATATGAGAGCTAAAGTATTCAAGTGATTAATTTCATACTTGATCCAGGAATAAAAAGATTTCAATCCAGTTTAGTCTCATCAACTTCACAGTGATAATTATGTATTGGAATGTTAAAATGAAAAGGTATACATTACTAGCACGATTTCCTTATAAATAAATGGAACTTAGAAGCACAGAAAGATTACTTGCCATCTAGCTCTTCCTCTTGAATATCTCTTCCTGATTCCAGGATCTGCCACAGATCAAAATATGCATATCCTACTTCTTGGCATTCTTTCTTTTCTTCATCCAGAGGATCACTTACCACTGTAAACTTTAAACTAAAAAAAAAACAATTTCATTTAACTCACCACTGCTGGGATACTTCATGCTTTTAAAATAAGGGGCCAGACTCTGTGGCTCAGCCTGTAATCCTGCGCTTTGGGAGGCTGAGGTGAGTGGATTGCCTGAGCCCGCGTGTTCAAGACCTGCCTGTGCAACTTGGCGAGACCTCATCTCTACAATAAATCAAAAAATCAGCCGGGCATGGTAGCGCGTGCCTCTAATTCCAGCTACTCGGAAGGCTGAGGCGGAAGGATCGCCGGAGCCCAGCGGATCAAGACTGCTGTGGCCAGGAGTGTGCCACTGCACTCCAGTCTGGGCGATGGAGTGAGACTCCAACTCAAAAAAAAATTTAATTAAGTAAATAAAATAAGGATAAAAGTAATCATAAACAATACAGTGTCATCTCTGATCACCTTTCCCTTGCCTCCATTCTACAAGATGACAATAAGCAAAAAGTAAATAATCGGTGTAATTTAAGTAGCAACAGGCCTTTAGTAGAGGGAACTAAGACTCTTGAAATGATGTTCTACTAAGATGGTTTACAATTTTGTTTAAAGATTTAACATGGGCCGTGAAGGTGTTATACAAAAAACCCAGGATTATGGAAGTTAAAAGGAGAACGTTTATTTATTTTTATTTATTTATTTTTGAGTTGGAGTCTCACTCTGTCACTGAGACTGGAGGGTAGTGGCCGCTCCTGGCCACTGCAGCCTCGACCTGCTGGGCTCCGGCGATCCTTCCGCCTCAGCCTTCCAAGTAGCCGGAATTACAGGCATGCGCTACCACGCCCAGCTGATTTTTTTTTAATTTATTTATTGTAGAGATGAGGTCTTGCTGCCCAGGCGGGTCTCGAACCCGCGGGCTCAGGCAATCCACTCACCTCAGCCTCCCAAAGGCGCGGGATTACGGGCTGAGCCACCGAGCCTGGCTTATTTTTGTTTTTGAGTCAGTCTCACTCTGGTCACTCAGGTTGGAGAGCAGTGGTATGCTCACAGCTACTGTAGCCTTGACGGGCTCAGGCAATCCTGCCTCAGCCTGCCAAGTAGCCAGAACTACAGGTGCACGCCATGACGCCTGGCTAATTTTTTTTTTTAATTGTAGAGACAGGTCTCACCAAGTTGTCCAGGTTGGTCTCGAACCCCTGGGTTCAGGCAATCCTCTGGCCTTCACCCCCAAAATGCTGGGATTACAGGTGTGAGCCACTGTACCCAGCATATTACTTTTTTAAAAGCAAATATTAGCTAATAGAGAGTATCAGGGATAGGACTAAAAATTCAAGCCTTAAAAGCATAGCTAAATAAGATTAAGCTGAAAAGAAGGAATTACTGAAAAGGACATATTCTCAGTCCATCAGGCACTATTCATTTATGACTCAGTTTCTGTACCATTACTGAGGACTTCAACAACAGAAAAGAGATAATGCTGACTTCCAGGAAAGGGATGGTAACTAGCATTACTGTGCGCCAGGCACAGTACCAAGGGCCTTATGCGCACTATGTTATCTCAGTTTTATCTTCACTAGATCATTCAAATTAAATAATATCACAAAGATCATAGAGCTAATAAATGAAAGAGTCAGAATTCAAAACCAGGTCAACCTGATAACAAAGTCAGTGTTCTTCTGTCTGCTATACTATAATGGCAAAAAGAAAGTCAAGCTGAAATCCATCAAAATCTGAAATTGCGTGGAAAAGGATTACCACTGTAGGGGAATATAGAAAGAGTTCTGGGAATGCTGGGAAAAAAAAGAGTAAAAGCTAAATTTAACATTAGCACAGAAGGGAAATAACCAAATGACTTTGCATTCCAAAAGTTATCAGTACGCTGTGTGAACCCACAGTGATGTCGAAGTCAAATTCACTGTTTATTTCAGTCGGCTGCTTTTTCAGTCTATTCTATGACCAAATGAAGACAAAGTAAAAACAGATCAAACAAATGTATTGGCCCTTTAGAGGAGTCATAGATTAAAACACCAACCGTGTATCATTTCTTAACCCACATGTATGTGGAGTCAGGGTTGCCAGATTTAAAAAACAAAACCCATATGCTGACTTCAATTTGAATTTCAGCTAAACAGTGAATAATTTTTTTTTAGTGTAAGTATGTCCCATGCATTTATCTGTAAACTCTAAAAGGATGTCTTCTCAGGTTATAGGCATAATAAGGACAGTTGACTTTTTTAGAACTTCAAAGGAGCCGGGCACAGTGGCTCACATCTATAATCCCAGCACTTTGAGAGGCAAAGGCAAGCTCAGGAGTTCTAAATCAGCCTGGGCAACTTGGCAAGACCTCATTCTCTACCATAAGTAAGTAAATAAATTAGCTGGGAGTAGTGACATACACCTGTGGTTCCAGCTACTTGGCTGAGGTGGAAGGATCACCTAAGCCCAGCAGGTTGAGGCTGCAGTGGCTGTGAGCGTGCCACTGCACTCCAGCCTGGGAGACAGAGACTTAACTCAAATAAATAAATAAATAAAACTTTAAAGGATATCTAGAATTTACTTAGTTATATCAAAATAAAAATATTCCTGCAAAGAAATAATTTTTAAAATTTAAATAAAAATGTATATGATAAAGGTACAATATTTGGTAAGCTAACTATAGTACTGCATGTGTGAAAGCTGAATCAAATTATCTTAGAATGTCAAAGTATTTTGTTAATTCCATTTGGTCACAAATAAATTGCTGTCACACAAATAAAGTGCCTATTAGGCCAGGCACGGTGGCTCAAGCCTGTAATCCCAGCACTTTGGGAGGCCAGGGTGATAGGACTGCCTAAGCCTAGGGGTTCCAGACCAGCCTGGGCAACTTGGCGAGGCCTCGTCTCTACAATAAATAAAAAAATTAGTTGGGCATGGTGGCTCAACTGTAGTTCCAGCTACTTGGAAGGCTGAGGCGGCAGGATCACCTGAGCCCAGCAGGTCGAGGCTGCAGTGGTCATGAGCGTGCCGCTGCACTCCAGCCTGGGCGACAGAGTGAGAGTGACTCAAAAAAAAAAAAAAAAAAGTGCCCACTGAACTGGCATGGGTGAGAAATGAGCTAAACCTATGAGACTCTAAAATTAATCAGTCATAAACATGAATTAGACTCAGGTCGAGAGGAAACATTAAGAGCAAAGTAACTCCAAAGAAGTTATTAAAATATTCAGCATCAGCACAAAAACACGTTCGCATTTCGGAATTCCTGTCTGACATCTCCTTTCTTTCTTAGTGGAGAGCGGATGCTTACTGTCCTTGCTCCGGATCTTGTCCATTCAGCATGGTGAACAGAAATTGCCTTCGGCCTTGCTGCTCCAGCGGGTCCAGATCTATCACTGGATTAAGGGTAAGAGGAAAAAGCAAAAAAAATATACTGTTGCTATTTGGGCACTAAGACTTCCATAAATGGTGGATGCAAAACAGTGATAGAAAGCACAGGTTATTGTATGCCTAATCCTGAATTGTACCCCACATCTTTAAAATAGGATAAATAAATAATTAAAATAAAATTTTAAAAAAGCAGACGTTAGCAAACTATAGCCTCTGGGCTGGCCACCTGTTTTTGTAAACAGAGTTTTATTGCACACAGTAATTTGCTTATATATTGTCTATGGCAGCTTTTGAACTACAATGCCACAGTTGAAAAGTTGTGACAGAGACTGCATGGCCCCCAAAAGCCTAAACTGTTTACTATTTGACAAAAGAAAACGTTTGTTGGCTGCTGACATAAAGGAAGCATTATAATCTGCATCGAAAGCTGTTCCTGCTGTATGCCAAAACAAATGTGCTGTCACCACTCCACTGCTGGTAAGAATTCTAAAACATTGATTCTTTCGAGTTTGGGTTTTGTGGCAGGGTCAGCTCAAGGCACCTACCTCAACACTGACCTCTACTTCTTCCTCTTTTTTTTTTTTTTTTTTTTTTGAGTGAGAGTCTCACTCTGTTGCCCAGGCTGGAGTGCAGTGGCCTGCTCACAGCCACTGCAGCCTCCACCTGCTGGGCTCCGGCGATCCTTCCGCCTCAGCCTTCCAAGTAGCTGGAACTACAGGTGCATGCCACCACGCCTTGCTAGTTTTTTTTTATTTATTGTAGAGATGAGGTCTCGCCAAATTGCCCAGGCTGGTCTCGAACCCATGGGCTCAGGCAATTCATTCACCTCAGCCTCCCAAAACGTGGGATTACAGGCTGAGCCACCGAGCCCGGCAAAAAAAAAGATGTTTCATGAATGGCTTTCTCAAATATTTACCTCCAATATACCCTTTCTTTAAAAGCTACTGGGGGAAAATGATCCATTAAAATAAAATAACACAAACGGAGGATGACACAGGACCCAGGAGACAGCAAATCCGGTACAGAAGGGAACTGGGTCAAATTCTCCAAGGGCAATAGTGGTATAATAGCTAAACGGTGGGCTTGGAAAAGAATGCGAGCATAGAGTAAGGTGTCCAGGAAAAAAGTGGACACTTGATTTGAAAATTTGGAAAGGCTGTTGAAGGATGTGAAAAGAATTACAATAGGTATAATGAAAATGAAAACTTGAAGCCAGAAAAAAGTGAAAAAGGAAATACAATTATTGCATACTACTTGCTTCTCCAAGAACTAATATTTACATATCCATAATAACAGAAACAATTAAAATAGATTTAAATAAAAATTAGGATCCAACTGTATGGGAGAGAAGGGACTTGGGTTTTGCACAAAAGAGCTAAATTTTATGGTCCAAGAAAGGAAGTCAGCAGATAGTGTCGAAAACTGGAGAATCAGGAAATTACAACAGAAACATTATTCAGAAGCTGGGGTGAGAGGATAGCTTGAGCCTAGGAGTTCTAGACCAGCCTGGGCAACGTGGTGAGACCTCCATCTCAAAAAAAAAAGAAAAAATTACTCAGAAATATGAAGGTAAATAACAGAAGAAATAGCTGGAAAAGTTAAAAGTGTTTGTGATAGACGGAGACAGGGAGAGGAGGAAGAGGGAGTGATTTGTGGAGAAGGAGTGGAGCAAACGACTGCTTATTTTAAAAACCTGTTTGGGCCTATTTGACATTTTAAAGCCATATGCATGTACTACATTGATAAACAAAATAATAAAACAGTTGGATTCACCTCATCAAAAATCCAGAGTAGTTCTCACCCTCAGTGTAAACATCTGTCAGTCTCCTTTCCCCACCCAACACACAGGGTGCCTCACCCTTGCTAAAGTGGAAGTGGATTTCTTCTCCTGGCTTTGGTTTCCTCAGGGATACTGGAGTCTCTGTCTCTGACAAGGGTAGATCGTAGAATTTGTACTCCACGTACACCTGCTTCACATTCTCATCAGACATAACTTCCGCCTCTGGGTACAAGGCCAGAGAGACAATTTCAATGCACATCTTCTCTGAATCCTGATAAGAAAAAAATGCTTATTTATTTCCCAGAGGTAGGTGAGGCTCCAAGTGCTCACACTCCATTCGATTAACACATTAACAGTATGCTTGAGAAATAAACCATAAGCATACTCCATCTAACACACTGCTCTCTGAGAACCAAGTTATCAGTAAAACTGGCACCAAAAGACAACTTAACTGAATTGCCACAGCTAATCTGTGTGAATTGTTTTGTTGTTGTTGAGTTGGAGTCCCACTCTGTCGCCCAGGCTGATGTGCAGTGGTGCGCTCACGGCTTCTGTGGCCTCAACCTGCTGAGCTCAGGTGATCCTTCCACCACAGCCTTCCAAGTAGCTGGAACTACAGGCGCGTGCTACCACACCCGGCTTATTTTTTGATTTGCTGTAGAGACGAGGTCTCACCAAGTTGCCCAGGCTTGTCTCGAACCACTGAGCTCAGGCAATCCTCTCGCCTCTGCCTTCCAAAGATCTGGGATTACAGGTGTAAGCTACCGCACCCGGCCATGAAATGTATAAGGGAGAACCCAGTAATTCTCTCCACCAGCCCAGGGAATCATCTCTCAATGTAAGCCTTTTTCAGCCATCTTCACATGCAAAAAGAATCAAAACACATTTTTGAACAGATAGCTTTTTAAAAAAATTTTAGTTTTTATTATTATTACTAATGTTTTTTTGAGTCAGAGTCTCACTCTGTTGCCCAGGCTGGAATGCAGTGGGATGCTTACGGCCACCACAGCCTCAACCTGCTGGGCTCAGGTGATCCTTTTGCTTCAGCCTTCCAAGTAGCTGGAACCACAGGTGCGCCACCATGCCTGGCTAATTTTTTGATTTATTGTAGAGACACGATCTTGCCAAGTTGCCCAGGCTCGTCTTGAATCCAGGGGCTGAGGCAATCCTCTTGCCTCCACCTCCCAAAGTGCTGGGACTACAGACATGAGCCACCACTCCCAGGCTCAACTTCCTTAATGAAAAATTAATGCACTGGGCACAGTAACTCAAGCCTGAAATCCCAGCACTTTGGGAGGCCGAGGCAAGAGGATTGCCTGAACCCATGGGTTCAAGACAAGTCTAGGCAACTTGTGAGACCTCGTCTCTATGATAAATCAAGAAAAATTAGCCGAGTGTGGTAGTGCGTGCCTATAATTCCAGCTACTTGGAGGGCTGAGGCGGAAGGATCCCCTGAGCCCAGCAGGTGGAGGATGTGGTAGCAGTGAGTGTGCCACTGCACTTCAGCCTGGGTGAGAGAGTGAGAATCTGACTCAGAAAAAAAAAAAAAGAGAGAGAAGAAAAGAAAGAAAAGAAAAGAAAAATTAGGCCGGGCTCAGGGGCTCAGTCTGTAATCCCCGCACTTTGGGAGGCCGAGGTGAGTGGATTGCCTGAGCCTGCGGGTTCAAGACCTGCCTGGGCAACTTGACGAGACCTCATTTCTACAATAAATCAAAAATTAGCCGGGCGTGGTAGTGCGCACCTATAGTTTCAGCTCCTTGGAAGGCTGAGGCGGGAGGATCGCTGGAGCCCAGCAGGTCGAGGCTGTGGTGGCCAGGAGCGGCCATTGCACTCCAGTCTGGGTGACAGAGTGAGACTCCAACTCAAAGAAAAAAGAAAAATTAATCCACCATTTTCCTGTAGTTAGGACCTAAAAGACCACCCAACTGATAGTGGAAATTTGGTAGCTGCTTCAGCCACCAAAGCAAACAACAGCCGGGCTTGGCGGCTCAGCCTGTAATCCCAGCACTTTGGGAGGCTGAGGTGAGTGGATTGCCTGAGCCCGTGGGTTCGAGACCTGCCTGGGCAACTTGGCAAGACCTCATCTCTACAATAAATCAAAAATTAGCTGGGCGTGGTGGCGCGCGCCTGTAGTTCCAGCTACTTGGAAGGCTGAGGCGGAAGGATTGCCGGAGCCCAGCAGGTCGAGGCTGCGGTGGCCAGGAGCGGCCACTGCACTCCAGTCTGGGCGACAGAGTGAGACTCCAATTCAAAAAAAAAAAAAAAGCAAACAGCTGACCAGTGCCTCCTGTGCTCACCTAAGTGCATGTCACCAAGGAGGTCACCAGACCACCCTGCCTTCCCACAGGAACTCCAATACTTTCAACTCTAATTCAGAGTCACTGCTACCACCACTGTCCTCACTTTTGATTGTCCCTGCATCCATGTTGGCATTAGGGGTACCAGGAGGAGGGGCTGACATCCCTCCAGTTTCCAGAGCTACAGAGGCCAGCATAAGTCCCCTTCTTCCACAGTGTTGGCAGCAAGCCAGTGTCATGACACCAGTAATGAGTCAATCCAGAACGGTGCCCCACCAGCCTTAGTTCTCCCTTCCATCTGTGAGCATCCTCCTGGCTATTGTTTTCCTCTAGGCTCCCAGGTCAGTGCCCTAACTTCTCCAAAGACCTGCCCTCATCCCATCTTTTATTTTCTTAGAAAGCAAGTGGATGGGAGGTGGAGGTGAGAGGATTGCCTGAGCACAGCGGTTAGAGACCAGCCTGGGCTACTTGGTCAGACTTCATCTCGACAATAAATAAATAAAAAAAAAAAAATCAGCCGGGCGTGGTAGCGCATGTCTGTAATTCCGGCTACTCGGAAGGCTGAGGCGGAAGGATCGCCGGAGCCCAGCAGGTCGAGGCTGCGGTGGCCGGAAGCGGCCACTGCACTCCAGTCTGGGCAACAGAGTGAG